GCGGCCGGGAAGCAATACAGTTTTGAACGGGACGCCGTGCTGTCTACTTCAATGGCGACGAGGCGGTGAACGTGTGCGCCGCGCGGTGATTAGTGGCAAGGGAAGCAGTGATAGCGTCAGTGAGCCGGGCGCCCGAGTTTGATGCGGCAGTGGAGTCGTTCGGCGCGTACAGCAGGCGTCTCGAACAGCACTTTGTCGCCAACAGCGTCGGTGAAGATGAAGTCGAGAAGCGCCGCGCCATACTGCTCAGCGCGGTTGGCGCCAGCACCTTCAGCCTCCTGGAGGACCTCATAGCCCCAGCCGCAGTGGGAGACAAAACGTTCAAGGAGCTTGTGAAGATATTGGTCGATCACTTTGAACCGCAACAATCTGCAATTGTCTCCAGATTTCGGTTTCACTCCTGCACTCGCGATGCTGGAGAGTCAGTGTCTTCGTTTTCGGCGAGGCTCCGCAAGCTTGCGAAGCCCTGCAAGTTTCAGCCAGGCCAGCTGGACGAGATGCTTCGTGACCGACTGGTTTGCGGTATTCAGCATGAGCGGCTGCAATCACGTCTGCTGAGCGAGCCGCGGCTGACTCTGGACACGGCTCTGGAGATCGCTCAGGCCCACGAGTCGGCAGCAGCCAGTGCAGCCGAGCTCAGCGGCCGCTCCGAGTCGTCTGCCGTCATCGGACGGGTCGATGGGACACCACGGAGGATGGTGAACGACAGCCGACCAGCCCTGGTGAACGACAGCCGGCGAGCACTGGTGAACGACAATCGGCGTCCCCTGGACACCGGCGGGGCTGCCTCCCGCGCTCCGCCGGCGCGGGGTGCCTGCAGCCGCTGTCTCAGCCGACGGCACGTCCCGGCGGCCTGCCCCTTCCGCTCGCAGAACTGTTATGCGTGCGGAGCCGTGGGCCACACCAGAGCGGCCTGCGGAGCCGCGCCGGGTCTCAGCGTGTCCGGCTGCTGGAGGAGGAGGAGCAGCCGGAGCCGTCCGTGACGCCTGGGACTTCTCAGAGTGGCGCGGCGCCCCACAATGACGGTGAGGACGAGCCATATTACTTGTTCCGTGCTCAAGGGGTGCAGTTGGGAGTAGATCGTAAACCACCACTAATGGTTGATGTATGTGTGGACGGCTGCCCGCTGCGTATGGAGTTAGATACGGGAGCTGCATTGTCTGTTTGCTCAGAGAAAGTGTTCAAGGGTACTTGGCCGGTCGGTGGGCCCCATCTTAGGCCATGTGACAAACTGTTGAAAACTTACAGCGGTGAGGTGTTAGGGGTGTGTGGTCAGGCGATGGTGGATGTTCAGTATGGCGGGCAGCGAGCACAGCTGCCGCTGGTGGTAGTTAAGGGCGAGGGACCATTTCTTTTTGGTCGAAACTGGCTGTCGACCATACGACTGGACTGGCCCTCCATATGTCAGCTTACCGACCGCTCTCGGGCTCAGACGCTCGTTCATGAGTTTTCTGAAGTTTTCAGCGATGGTTTGGGGTGCTATCGTGGCGCTGAGGTGACCATTTCGGTGGATCCCGATGTGAAGCCGAGATTCTTCAAAGCTCGCACAGTCCCACTGGCATTCCGCGAGCAGGTGGATGCCGAGCTGGAGAAACAGATCCAGCAAGGACTGTGGGAGCCGGTGGAGCACAGTAAGTGGGCCGCCCCCCTAGTCGTCGTGCCAAAACCAGGGGGAAAGATCAGGTTATGTGGGGACTATCGCCTCACGGTCAACAGGGTGGCCAAGGTGGACCAATATCCGCTTCCACGCGTGGAAGAGCTGCTAACACGCTTAACGGGCAGTAAGGTCTTTTCAAAGATAGACCTTAAGTCCGCGTACAACCAGATGGTTCTCGATCAGAGTTCACGTGACTTTCTGACCGTAAACACCCAGAGGGGATTGCTGAGACCCACGAGACTTAGCTTCGGGTACGCTTCAGCCCCGTCCCTGTTCCAGAGAACCATGGACACGCTGCTAGCGGGGATACAGGGTGTGTGTGTGTTCCTCGATGATGTTGTCGTGGCGGGTTAGACTGTGGAAAGTCATGATGTAGCGCTGCGTGAGGTGTTGCGCCGGCTGCGTGAGGCGGGTCTCAGGGCGAACCGGGACAAGTGCTGTTTGGGCGTGGACAGCGTAACGTACCTGGGTCACAAGGTCAGCGGGAGCGGCGTGGAGACGACTGAGGAAAAGGTCGCTGCCATCACGGGCGCGCCAGAGCCCCGAGATGTCTCCGAGCTGCGGTGCTGGCTCGGCCTTATCAATTACTACGGAAAATTTTTGCAGGGTTTGGCCACCACCCTTTCGCCGCTCTATGTTCTGTTACGGAAAAATCGCCCTTGGCGGTGGACGCACATTGAAAGGAGAGCTTTTGAGGATGCGAAACGTTTGCTCAAAAGCCCTCCCGTTTTGGGACATTTGACCCAAAACTCCCTGTGATTTTGGCATGTGACGCCAGTCCAGTGGGATTGGGGTGCATTCTTAGCCAGCAAACGAGGCAAGGGGAGAGACCGATCGCGTTTTATTCGCGCTCTTTAAACGAGACTGAAAGGCGCTACTCCCAGACCGACCGGGAGGGTTTGGCGGTGGTGGCCGGTGTAAAGAGGTTCCACTATTATCTGGCGGGCCGTCCGTTTTCAATACGGACCGATCATAAGCCCCTGCTGGGGCTGATAGGTGAGTCCAAGCCGCTCCCACTGATGGCATCGCCCCGGGTGGTCAGGTGGGCCCTTATGCTGGGAGCGTATGATTATCGCCTTGAATTCGTTCCCGGCGTTAAACAAACTCACTGTGACGCGCTCAGTCGGCTGCCCGTCCCGTCGTCGGTGGTCGGTCAGTCGAGCCCCGTTCCGGCGGAGACGATACATTTGATGGAGTTTTTAGACGCGTCTCCGGTCACTGTGGACCACATTCGCCGGTGGACCTCTAGAGACCCTGTCTTGGCTGTCGTGCTTCAGTATATTCAGGAGGGCTGGCCGGATGACGGGGAGGTGCTGTCGCCAGATTTCCGACCTTTTAGGTCCCGTAAAGCCGAGCTGAGCATTCAGGATGGATGTATATTGTGGGGTTCGCGCGTTGTGATACCGCCACAGGGAAGGGCAAAAATTTTGAGTCTTCTACACGACGGGCACTGCGGAGAGACGCGCACCAAGTCTTTCGCAAGAATGTATGTGTGGTGGCCTAACCTTGATCAGGACATCACATCCATTGCACAGAATTGTGGCAAATGTCAGGCTTATCGTGCCAACGTACCTGAGACTCCGCTGCACCCATGGATTTGGCCATCAAAACCATGGGAGCGTGTGCACGTAGATTATTGTGGTCCAATTGATGGCTGGTGGGTATTAATTGTCATTGACGCTCATTCAAAGTGGATGGACGTGTTTCCGTCGCGATCATGCACGTCCGAGACCACCATAGAACATTTGCGCGCTTCATTTTCCTCGTGGGGGCTGCCAAAGACTCTTGTGTCTGACAACGCACAATGTTTCTTGTCTGAGACTTTTCAGACGTTCTGTCGCTCGAATGGCATTCATCATTTGACTTCTCCTGCACTGTCTCCGAAATCTAACGGGTTGGCGGAGCGTAGTGTTCAGACATTGAAAAACAGCATTAAAAAGCATACATCAGGCACGATTCACACCAAAATAGCGCGTTTTCTGCTGCGCTATCGCACAACGCCGCACACAACCACCCAGGTGTCCCCAGCGGCATTATTCCTTGGCAGGACGGTGCGAACCCCGCTGGATCTGGTCAGGCCTGATCTGAGTGGTAGAGTGAGGAAAAACCAGGACAAACAAAAACAGTACGCCGACAGGGGCTCCTATGAACGTTCCGTGTGCGTAGGCGATGCTGTGTTTGTGTCAGCCGTTGATCGTGTACAAAGTGCTGCTGGTTGTAAATGGCTGCCGGGTGTGATAGTGGTGCGGAAGGGAGTAAAACTGGCTGTTCAGTTGCAGGATGGGAGAGTGATCTGGAGGCATCTGGATCGGGTCCGGCCGCGCCGGACTGTGGCCGACGTACCGCCGCCGACCGCTGGACGGGCGCTGGACCTGGATCGGACGCGGCGGGACCTGTTTGATGCCGACGTACCGTCGAGGGCCGGACTGACGGCTCGGGCGGTGGCCCCGGCTGCTCCGGACGGGTCACCGTCGGTCCCGGCGGGCGGACCGCCGCCGGCACCGCGTTACAATCTGCGTCCGCGAGAGACGTTACGGCGGCCGGACCGGCTGTTGTGTGAGTGAAGTTTGTGAGCTCTCCGTGCCTGATATCGTTAAAAGTGACCAGAGTTTTGTTGTTACGTTAGTTGTGATTATGTTATATTGCGGGGTGGAGGGATGTCATAACCGGCTCTCGCCTCTACCGGCGGCCTCCCTCCCTCTCTCCCTCGCATACTGGTCACCCCTCTCGTCCCAGTGGACTCGCCCGGTGCCTCGGGCAGTATCTGTGACACGACCTCGGGTGAGCGGCCGGGAAGCAATACAGTTTTGAACGGGACGCCGTGCTGTCTACTTCACAGACCATGCGCTGATTCTTTCAAGAGGGACTACCCTGTACTCAGCCTGTGACTATCCCAGACCCTGGCTCCAGCCAAGGCTGGCCCCAGCAGAAGGCGATCGCGTTTGCTGCGCCATCTACAATACTATCAGCGCCATCGTGCGCTTCTACTGAGAAGCTTGGCAATGGGTGACGGGAGATCAGCTGCAGCTTGGGTGTGATTAATTTCCATGGTTATCTGACGATGACACTGGTTCTGACACGACTTTTTTCAATGACATTTACCGTTAAATTGATCTGCGAATAACTTTAACACTGACCCTAGAATGCTTATTCAAGCTAGACTTACAGATGCAGGAAAAACCGGGAGAAACCAAGAGGAGAAACTAGTGCGGAAAAACCTTTGAGTTGGTAGCACTTCAGTTCTGAGTTATGCTACCAAATGTTGTCGCAAATGGGGACTTTCCTGCAATGCTTGCGACAAAAGCGCAGTTTACGCGAATATGCAATTAGTCTGCAAGGGAATAATTAGCTTCAATAAATAAAGTAATTCATTTTCAGCCGTAATATCCTGCTCTGCTTTGTTTAATCTGAAGATCTTGGGTTTTATTGATTCGAGGCAAGTCAAAATATGATGGATGTTTTGTCTGTCTGTCGCTGTTTCATGGGCCAATGCTGAGGCTGCTCCTGCAATCGGACTTCATGACTTGTGTTTAAATCAGAATGCAATTGGAATTAATTACAGATCCCAAGGGAGGAGGATTGGTTTTAAGTTTTCATAAACGTGTTTGTTTTTAAACGATGACATTGAATTGCCACTATCCATTCCAATTGCTACTGCTTTTTTCGGCAGGAAATTACTGAAACCATGGTCCTGAGTGGGCTAGCTTTAAACATAGATTGGCTCCATCAATGTCTTTATTTATCTACATCTAGTACCTTGCACCGTTTTGAAACAATTGAGCAAGATGGCTTCAGCAAGATTGAGTTGTGTGATTGGCGGCTCAGGGGAGGGGGTATCTGTACTTTGGAGCGTGTGCTATTCCCCCTCCTCATCCTGCAGTCCCAAAAAGTTAGGAAAAAATTATTTACTTTTGAAGTTTTCCTCCCATAGAAAGAAAACCTAACAATTGAGCAATTTGAATTGGAAAAAAATTATTTTAAACTGCATTGCAAGTCATATGTGGAGGTGAATTCTGATGAGTTTTAGGAAATTGGAGATACTTCCCCCACATCATCTCAAATCACCTTTCTGGATCAGTCAGTTATTTGTTTTGTGACTCGTAATGGTAGGCTATGCTTACTGCTTAGCTGCAACTAACCTGCTTGCTAAACACATTGTTTTACCACCTATATACCAGGCCTGGGACAAATCCCTAATTCAATATAACTTTGACTTGAGCCTTGAGGTTAGCCCACTGAACATAAGACCTTTGAGCTGGCTGTATTGAGTAATCAGTCAGTCTATTAGGTAGTTTGTCTCTAATCCAGTCCAGTGTTGTCCAATGTTTAGTCCTATTGGGAATCCTCATTTTTTTTCTTTCTCATATTTCTCCACAATCAACAAAACACTATCTTTTCAGGTGTTTGCCACCATATCTGTCATCATTTATCGATAATCGAATGGTGTGCCATCTATGTTATGTCTATTGGACATTATGCCATCTCTGTCATCGTCGTTGTGTATCATTCGTCTTTGTCAGATACCTCTCAGGCACCTGTCGAACAGTGTGCCGTCACAGCTGCGATCCCGTCAGTACACCTTTTACCAACCCTTTCCCCTCATTGCTGTATTCCAGAGATACGGTACCGACATGTGACTGCCGTTACCGTTGCCGGGTGGTGTGCTGAACGGACGGATACCTGAGGTGAGTACGGAGTACTGAATGGGTGCGGTCGCGGAGAGTCTGATTGTGGGGCCAGGTACCGTCTGGTGTCTGTCTGTCAAGTACCGCCGATAAGAATTGATGTGATAGTAGACGGGGTTTCGAAGATGATGATCGATTCAATATAGGTATCGACCGATACTCACAAGTACTATGATGCATAGATGTTATCAGAGTTATTGGATCACTGATAGTTTTTCTAAGTGGCAGTTTCGGATAGGTATAAGGGACATGTCATGTCTGAGATGTAGTTCAGACTCGTTGTTCTGAAGAAGAAGAACTGGAGAAGTGTAAAAGCAGCATGAAACCTCAACGATCTTTTCGATCGTTTTTGATCAACGATCAAACTTCTCTTTTTGGCTTTTTGTTAGTTGTTTTAGTAAATTCACATTAAAAAATTCATTAGTTTGTAGATAAACTAGTGGGTCTAGATTCGCTATCGTTCTTAATTCTGCTTACAGAGTCGTAAGCAAATAGGCGATTTTCTCGTTTCAAAATAGTCAGTCCTCCTTTCATATAGGTATCCTCAAAAGTCAAAATGATGGGCAAAGGGAAAACGAATTCCCCAATGGTAGGCGGTGCATGTCAAAGATGCATCAGTCGTTTCAATCTTGTTGGCTTGCAAGCTGACTCAGCTACTCGTATTCCAAAATTTAATTTCTCTAATGCTTTGATTGCATGGTCGCCGCCGTTTGGAGATGTGTTTGATTGTAATTTGTAAGTCCTTGCTTATATTTTCTGTTGTGTGTTATTAAGTATGTGGTTATTCGTTTCCTCATGCTGGCGATGAATTTATTCATATCCTGGGGCTGCAAGCATGATTTATGCTTGATGAGCGGTTATTGGGCTCGTTGATACGATGTAATAACATCAAAAAGGGCGTAGCCAGACTTCCGTATGCTTCAAGTCATCAAGCGATACGAAACGGAAGAAATACTCGTTTGTTTTGCGTTTGTCGCGCTTGAAACTTGGATTAGGCTTATGTATGAGTGAAGCCTGGCTTAGAAACAAGTGTAAAAATGGTTATTTCCTTTTTTACCCTCGTTTCAATATTTTTATGCATCTTAGCTGCACGGCTGAGCTATTAAGAATAATGTCAGATCCCAGACTAATTATCGGCATTGATAACATCACTTAATAACGGTATTGATGCCATCATTTAGATATGTAATGATGAGTAGGCACTATTGGTACAGACGTCAGCATGGGTGCACTATCAAACTGTTCCCATCAGCAGTTACGAATCCGCACTGCGCCACAGCAGAGCGGGTTTACGGGGCTCACTAACTACTGACTACACTCAGTTGAGCGAGCTGCACTATCAGTTCTGGACTTCCTGATGTTTCCAGCCGTCGGGAGTCCCTGCGCTGGTCAAAATGTTTGCATGGTAGCTTGATTTCCACAATTGATTAAATGTGAATGTGAACCCGCGCTTGTGATTGTTTTTTTTATACTATGTTTCTTATTTTATTGTGCTTTTAGAGTTACATCACTGGTAGACCCAGGGGATGGCGGACGGGGGTATTTGGGGCATTTACCCCTCTGCAGTTTCCGAAATCGATGAGGCATTTTTTCTGCTTAACTTATACAATGATAAGACTCTGTATCGAATGGCCCATTAACGCTGAAAAATCAAATCCCCTAGGAGTGTTCGGCACTTTGAAATGGAGAACCTTAAGGTAGTAGTCCCCCGCAAGGTCTTACATTACCTGTCTGTATCTTCCAACGAGTTTCGTGCGAGCATGTCTTTATGGTTTTCGTATAATCTGTTCATTGTGAAATATCGGTTTGCATGATAACAATAAAATGCCCTCAAGCATTGTTTCCTCCAAGTTATGTAACGCTAGCGATACATTCTAAGTATTCAAAATGGATTACATGAGGAATGCAAACCGACAAATGAACGTTAAATCATTTGTTTGATGTAAAGCTACATAGGCGTTCGGCGCTGGCTATGGGTGCTTGATATATTTTGCAATAGGGTTTATCATAAATGATAATGTGTCTGGCATACACATTACACGTGTCATGTGGTGCCTGCATATAGAAAGGAATAGGGGAGAAGCGGAAAGGTGTACCAATGAAGGCCGCATGAATTTATCGCCAAATTTGTCGTACCATTGATATGTATAACTGTGCGGGGTCGTCTACGCAGCGCTGGGGGGCGCCGGGCGGGTGTGAGCGTGGTGAGTCGGGGAATAGAGCTCGGAACTGAAAGGTGTGTTTTGTCGGCTGTGAGGCCGGCCGGGCTGGTGGTGATCTACGGACAGATCAAGTGGCGACGAGGCTGAGACCGTTCTCGCCTTGCCTGTGACCGGTGGTGGAACCACCATGGCGTCGGCCCTTATCGGGAGCGTCGGTGAGTACGGCGACGACGGCTCGGACTTTAACGAGTACCTAGAGCGTTTTGAGCAGTTTTTGGCTGCTAATGCGATCTCGTCAGCGACAAGGAAACGTGCGGTGTTTCTGAGCGTCTGTGGTCCCAAAGTGTATTCAACTCTGCGCAGCATTTTCGCGCCTGATCTGCCAGCCACGAAAACTTTCGAAGAGTTGGCGGAGGCAGCGCAGCGGCATTTCGCTCCGAGACCGGCTATAATTGTGTCACGGTACCGGTTCAACCGTACCACGCAGCAAGCCGGACAAACAGTTGGAGCGTTTTTGGCAGAGCTGCGGCGCATTGCCAGAGACTGTGCCTACGGAGACCGCCTAACTGAGCAGCTTCGGGACCGGTTCGTGTGTGGGATAAGTAACCCGGGAATGCTGAAGCGGCTACTGCAGGAAGGTGACAATCTGTCGCTCGAACTGGCTGTCAAGATAGCGACTGCGATGGAGACAGCAGCCGCTGACCTGCAGGATATCGCCTCATCGGCAGCCCCGCTGGCAGGCACAGCAGTGACCGGCCCGGACCCGCTGCACGCAGTCTCCGCTGTCGCGCCTGCCGCTGCCGCGGGGCCAGCCGCGGGAGGGCTGAGGCGACGACCCCGCGCATTTCATACACGCACACGCCGGCCGGCCGAGACGGCGGCCAGTGCTGGCAGCTTGCCAAGTGATTCAGCCGGTGGTTTACCGTGCAGCCGCTGTGGCAGGCGTAGTCACCAGGCCGAGGAGTGTCCCCATAGGCGTGCGACGTGCTACGGCTGTGGCAAAGTGGGCCATCTCAGGAACGTCTGCCGAGCGGTACACACGGTACTGGCAGACGACACGGAGCCGGATGGCGACATGTATCAAGTAAACGCCACAAATACTCCACACCGGGTTCCTGCCTACAGGACGACGGTGGATGTCAATGGAAGGCCGCTTGTGTTCGAGGTCGACACTGGAGCGAGCCGAACGATCATCAGCGAATCTGTGTGGCGCTCAGAGCTGAAGAGCACCCCTCTGGAGCCGGGTCAAGTGGCGCTAACCACTTACACTGGAGATGCACTGCCGGTGCGCGGTCAGCTGACTGCACACGTCTCGTGCGGCGGCCAGCAGACCACACTGACTCTGCTCGTGGTTCGGGGTGACGGCCCGTCACTTCTCGGCCGGGACTGGCTGGCCAAGCTGCGGCTACCGTGGAACGACATATTCAGTATCGCAGCACCCCTGTGGGATCTGCAGCAGCAGTACAGGGCGCTGTTCCAGGACGACGGTGGCACCTGCAAGCAGACTGTGAGTTTGGATATCGATCCGTCGGTCTCGCCCAAGTTTTACAAGCCTCGGCCCGTCCCTCTTGCGCTGCAACCGCTGGTGAATGCGGAGCTGGACAAACAGATCGAACGGGGAATTCTACGACCCGTTAAGACAGCGGAGTGGGCAGCGCCGGTCGTCACAGTGCTAAAGAATGACAAGAGTTCGGTGCGTATGTGCGGTAGCTATGATCTTACCGTTAACAAAGCCTCACGGGTGGAGCAGTATCCGCTCCCTCGAATCGACGAGCTGCTTACAAAGTTGGCCGGAGGCCAAAAGTTCACGCGCCTGGATCTCAAGGAAGCGTACCTGTTGGTGCCCCTGGATGAACAAAGTCAGCGCTACACCGATATCAACACTCACCGAGGCCTGATGGCAGCCACACGCCTGGTCTATGGAATAGCATCAGCTCCAGCGGCGTTCCAGCGCATGATGGAGCAGCTGCTGGCCGGCTTGCCGCACGTGGCCGTGTTCCTCGATGATGTGTGCATCACGGGCCGCAACGATACGGAGCACCGGCGCAATGTGGACGCGGTGCTGCGGCGTCTGCTAGACGCTGGTCTACGGCTCAACCCGAGCAAGTGTCAGTGGATGGCCAAGGAAGTGGAGTACCTGGGGTACCGGGTGGATTGTAATGGCATCCACCCCACAGCAGCCAAAGTGACGGCGATCGTGGAGGCACCGCGACCGGCGAACGTAAAACAGCTGAAGGCGTATCTCGGCCTGCTCATGTATTATTCAAAGTTCATGAACAATCTGGCCTCCGTGGCGGCGCCGCTCTACCGCCTCCTGAAGACGGGTCAGCCGTGGCGCTGGGGCCGGGCGGAGGACACGGCGTTCGCTCGCACCAAACAGCTGCTGGTGCAAGCGCCCTGCCTCGCTCACTATGACGGGACCCTGCCGCTCGTGCTGTCGGTGGATGCCAGCCCCTACGGGCTCGGGGCAGTGCTGTCCGAAGTGGACTGTTCCGGAATGGAACGGCCAGTGGCGTATGCATCGCGGAGCCTGGCAGCAGCAGAAACCAACTACAGTCAACTGGACAAAGAAGGACTGGCGGTGGTCTTTGGAGTAAAAAAGTTTCACCAGTTCTTGTGCGGTCGGCACTTCACTGTGCAGACGGACCACAAACCTCTCCTGGGTCTGCTAAGCAGCGACAAGCCTCTGCCGCTGATGGTATCGCCCAGGGTGGCCAGGTGGCGACTCGCGCTGCAAGCGTACCAGTACAAGCTGGTGTACGCCCCCTCGGCACGGCAGGCTCACAGCGACGGACTGAGCCGCCTGCCCCTGGCAGTGTGCCCTGCTAGTGTTCTAGA